TATTACTCTAAATTTTTATGAAACTTTGTCGAAATAAAATAGTTATGCTATGCAAAGGGACAGGTTAGTATTAAATTTAGCTATTTTTTAACGTTTGTGCACTGTTCTTGTCGAGTTCTTCCCGTGAAACTTGAAAAAAATGCTGCAAATTCATTGAATTTTAATACAGTAACTTCGCCACCCATTCAAGCGCTTCGTTTTAGCTTTAGAGTAGTTGCTTTTCTCCTTCGTATTTCTTCCAAATTTTCTTGAAATAATGTTCAGAAATACCCCAGCTTTGATTGATATAACTCATATTTGTTTTATCTGCCGTTTCAGGGCAGCAATTGGACAGGAAAGTTAACAAAGTTTCCTGATAATAAGTCGCCGACCCGAAGCACGTGGAGATGGTAAGCATTGACCTGTCAGACCCGAATTCTTTTCTCTGTATCAATGGAAAGATCTGATCCATGTTTCTCAAATATCTAGTGAAAATGGACCTCATTCTAATGTTATCTAAATTTTTCGGTCAGATAGGTCCGAAGCCCAAATGTTTTGTGTTCCATTCAACAATTTGACCTTCCTGACTGGTCTGGGGGTGTTAATGGAAAGCGCCCTTATAATTTATTGAGACCGAGGGAAACAGTGTGTTTTGTGGACCTGAACGGCACCGGCAGTTGTGGGCTGCAAAAGATGGCGTTGAGGGGCCCAGGGTCCGAAATATTGCTAAAAAACAGCTTCGCATTTTTTGCGGAAAAATTTGACTTTGAAATACACATTTAGGACCCCCTCTCCCCCCGATTTTTTTGAGCGTTACAAAAAGCCAAAAAGGAATGCGGCACATGCAATGATTTTGCCAAGGTGTTTAGAACATAATTGCAATCATGAAATTGAGTGAAATTTCACGATGGATAAAGCCCTACATTCTGCTAAAAACCAAACGCTTTATGGTATTGAAATTGAAAATTCTAAAAATATGCATGCCCTCGCATATGTATAAACATTTAGGCAATCCGTGCCAGGTAATTATCAAAGCAATGTTCCCATGTGGTGAATGTCAAAACGTTACGCTTTCGTTGTTTTGTTTTTACGTATACTACGAAAAGTTTAACTGATTTCTAAACTTTAATTAACTACCTCAACAAATAGGATTTAAATAATTCACAAAACTAAATATGCTGGCCTTTTATTCATTTACACTATAATTCGTCATATGTTTTTGTAATATTAAACCATTATTTTGTAAATATATATATATACCATACCCTGTAAATTCATTTAGATTGCTCTGAAGATGTTGTATTGTAAACAACGAAACGTTAGCTAATTAAAATTTTACTTTTATTATGTTTGGTTTTAAAGTTATTTGCTGGGCTCTGCATTTTATCTTTAAACACTAATTTTCAATCAATAAACTTTGGTGAAGTCAAGGAATTGCTGTAGTTATACAATATAGATCTTGGGGATAATTCACAATTGGGTATGGCCCCCGCGATTACTAATATATGCAGTTCTATTGTCCTTAATTGTTACACGTATACATCATTTAAAATTCTACGATTTCTATCGGCTATCTTTTTAAAATGCTAAGATGCAAGTTATATAACTTTAAATAACAGTGAACCAAATGGCTAAACAAACAATGAATTGTCGTTCTCACCGTTGAACTTAAAATGCTATTTTTCCACTCGCGAGTTGACAGCTGTGAGTCGCATTCGTCGCAGCACTTTAGTCAGTCTGAAGCACACGCGTACGGCTCAAAAATGAGATGCTCCACACGAATTTCTGAGACATTCCAGTTTTAAAAACTACATCAAAACTTACAAGTTTGAGTGTGTGTCCTCACCGCCAGGAACCTTGTCCTCAACACCAGGAACCTTGTCCTCAGCGCCAGGAACCTTGTCCCAGGGCCGTAGCGAAGGGGGGTATTGGGGGGGGGGGGGTTAACCCTTCCCAACTTTTTTAGAATTAACATATTCGGAAAATCGGGTTTGTCATTCGGAAAATTACGGCAGTAATAGTAAATAATAACAAAACTTTAGTTGCTTAAACAGAGAAAATACTATAAAATATATTGTATTGTCAGTATCATGAACTGATTTACAAAATCACGGCATTTATCAAATCGTAGACTTGGTAAATGTTTTTCGGTTTATTACTTCCCAGGACCGTAGCAACGGGGGGAGGGGGGGGGAGGGGGCAGCCCTCAATATATCTTTAAAATACTGACAATTGATTAATTTTAAGCAGCTCCATTACCCATGACAAACCGCAAAGAATCATATTACCCATATATGCCTTCGCCCATTTAGTTCTTCTAAATTGTAAGCAAATTAATTGTAAATTTCGACGTGCTAAAACTCTGTTTTCTGACCATCAGAATTCTGTCAAAACTTCCCCCAAAGTCCACGAAATGGCATTGCAGAGACTCTAAATTTAAAAATGTCCTCGGGCCTTCGGCCCTCGTCACCCCTTTATCAAAAAGAACTTGTTGCCGAACTGCACGCTTCTGTAATATGCCTGTGCGTAAAATACGAGTATTTTTGTTTGTAAATTGCGTTTACATTTTCCGGATAGAAAACACCTTTGTGGCTTCGTATGCATTAAATATTCGGAAATTTTTTTTGTCATTCGGAAATTTTTGGCCTACACCCCCCCACCCCCCCCAACTATGCATGCTTAGCTACGGCCCTGCCTTGTCCTCAGCGCCAGGAACCTTGTCCTCAGCGCCAGGAACATTGTCCTCACCGCCAGGAACCTTGTCCTCAGCGTCAGAAACCTTGGTTTCACCGCCAGGAACCTTGTTCTCAGCGGCAGGAACCTTGTACTCAACGTCAGATCCTTGTCCTCACCGCCAGGAACCTTGTTCTCCCCGCCAGGAATCTTGTCCTCACCGCCACGAACCTTGTCCTCACCGCCAGGAACCTTGTTCTCACCGCCAGGAATCTTGTCCTCACCGCCAGGAATCTTGTCATCACCGCCAGGAACCTTGTTCTCACAGCCAGGAATCTTGTTCTCACAGCCAGGAATCTTGTCCTCACCACCAGGAATCTTGTCCTCACCGCCAGAAACCTTGGTCTCACCCCCAGAAACCTTGGTCTCACCCCCAGAACCTTGTCCTCTCCGCCAGGAACCTTGTCCTCACCGCCAGGAACCTTGTTCTCACCGCCAGGAATCTTGTCCTCACCGCCAGGAACCTTGTCCTCACCGCCAGGAACCTTGTTCTCCCCGCCAGGAATCTTGTCCTCACCGCCAGGAACCTTGTCCTCAGCGCCAGGAACCTTGTCCTCACCGCCAGAAACCTTGTTCTCACCGCCAGCAATCTTGTCCTCAACGCCAGGAACCTTGTCGTCAGCGCCAGGAACCTTTTCCTCACTGTCAGAAACCTTGTCCTCACTGCCAGGAACCTTGTCCAAAATTTTCGATTAAAAAAATTTTCCGGTAGATTTCGAAGTTTTGCTCTATAGAGGTGCCCTTGGTGTGCGTCCGCCCCCCTTTGCCTTAGTATCGTTCCGGCGTCCCTGATGTTGAACTTAAGAAAGTGATTGATTAAACAATTGAAATGATATTGTCTGCCCTTTAAAATTTGAAAAAGATCATTTTAAGCTGACTTAGTATCAATAAACACGAAATTGATTTATCTTTATATTGATTGGTATGCTTGCCATTAATCCGGCAGCAAATTCATAATTGTTCATTATACCCTTAAGTCTTTTTTACCAGATAAAATAACATGATCAGACCTTCCCCATGAGGCTTACAAGTTTGTTTCTGTTCTGCTTCAAGCACTTATTATTATAAGTAATAGCAT